TGCTTAAGAAACGGACTCAATGGGACCCCTGGGTGGCTCACTTTGTTGGGCATCCACCTTCGGCTCTGGTTGTGATCCCAGAGTCCTGGGACCGAGTCCCACATTGGGCTCCTTGCTCAGCCTGCTTCTCCCTGCCTCTGCCTGCCATTCCCCTGCTTGTGGGTTCTCTCTCTCTCTGGCAAATAAATAAAATCTTTTTTTTTTAAGAAACAGACTCAATATAGTATATTTAAAAGATTTTAATCAAAAATGGTTTTTTGAGGTGAGAGAGTATTATTCACTTAATGGGCATTTTTTAGTGGGGCTCAATAGGTGAAAGTTTAACTTGGGTATCCATCTGATTTTTATTAACAGGTTTTGTACTCTTCATTTTATTTTTCTGACAGTGCAACAGAGAAACATGTACTTTTGTACTTAGAACTATGGAAAATAACCATGGACAGAATTATCTCTCATTAAAATTATTAATAGAAATAAAAGCTTTAGTGAAACACTTCAGTCCATTCCAGCTACAACAGAAAAATACTACCTCAGTTTTCAGCATTAAGCAGGAAGCTTTTTATTGCTGAGGAGTAAAATCCATCTGAAATAAAAATGGCATACCATTTTGTGCTACTTTGGTGTCAAATATGCAGCATAATAATGTGTGTCTTACTGGATTGTCAAGATTCCCCCTATATGTTAAAAGCCATACTTCATTTGTAAAAGTGTATAATGTAGCCAACTCTTTTGAAAGTGAATAAACTTTTCTCTCTTCTTTAGTCCTTTTATTGGTAGAGGTTCAAAAATGTTTGACCTATGTCTGCTCTTAGGTCTAAGTTTCAACTGTTTATTTTTTAAAATATTTACCATTTTTCTTAATTAAAGTTTTAATATGGGTGGTACATAGAAAGTTTGAAAACCTCATAAAGGTACAAAGGAAAAATAATCCTGAAATCATTCATTTCCTTCATTATCTCTTGGCTCCAACACTAAGTAATTTCAGAGTATTGTCCTTTGATAATTGTTTTGTCTGGTCTCTATTTTCTTATATTTTTCACTCGTCATTCCTCGGTATTTCTATGTTATTATTGCTTATAATACGCTTTCTTGTTTTATCTTATCCTTACAGTGAGATCTTAAGGATGACTGTGTTTCTCCTTGCTATTTATTTACTCAACCTATATTTATTAACACCTGCTGTATGTGAAAAACTGCATGGGAATATATGAATCAATGGGCAAAGCTCTTATCCTTATGGAACTTATCAACTAAGGATAAAGTGCTTGAATATGGGGTGTCAACCCACAAGATCGGGAGCCATGCATAATTCACTTCCCTGTCTGTGCAACCCAGCGTGTGATTTCTTTTCTTCTGTATCTACAGTAGATATTGGGTGGATGCTTAATGTGATATATAAATAACTACTATTGAAAAAGTAGTTGTCTCTTACCTATATGGCCATATTCCTAATTCTAGAGATTGGATAAGTAGGATTCTGCCTACTTTATTGTGAAGTTCTATATTAAGATGTAACATTTGTTTCATGCTTATAACTTAGCAAACTGTTACTCCATTATCTCAGAGGGTTCCTGTGAAGCTCAAGTAAGCAATAAATATACTTTATTTAAAAAGAAGGAAGGTGGTGGTATTATTTGCCTGGAGCTCTTACAGCATTGATTTATTCATTAAGAGATAAAACATTCAGTAACCCCAGTCATCTAAAACATGGTTATATTATTGGCCTTTAACTTCCAAATATGTTACATATTTTTAAAGAAAGCATAAGAAAAAGATAAGCAATGCAGCAGGAAATAAGTACACAGATGAGTTAGATTCAGTCCCCAGTTCAAAAAGCTTTCAATAGTATACATGGAAAGATAATTTCTCTCTCACACATACAACTTATCTAGAGCTTTTCCCCACTTTTTACCTGGTTAATTCAACTTATCCTTCCCACCTCAAATTAAACATCACATTCTTAGATGGAAGTTCCCTCAACCTCTGTATCAGATTTTCTTTACATTTTTTCACGGAACTCTGCATTTATCTTATACAGCACTCATTATATTTATAATTGCATTATACTGAGAAATATTTAGTATCTGTATCCTGACTAGGCAATAAACATAAAAAAGGATCAACATACCAGCAAAGTGTCCGGCACAGAGTATGAGCTCAATAAGTGGTTATTGCATGTAGTAACTAATATGGAAAAGATGATGGTAGGGAAAAGGAGAGAGAAAAACGAAGTGTAATGGGAATGTAATGGAAAGGGAAGGCATTTAATATAGGAGCTTACAAAGGTTCTATGGAAAATTTCAGGTTTTCTTTAGAGGATGTGTATGATTGCTGAATGTGCAGCTGTATAGACACATCTAGAGGATGATACAGAAAAGATAGATTGGTGGAACACAAATGATCAGGGCCACAGTATCCATAGACATAGTAGACACTGTGCCCAGAACCCATGATAGTTTAAGGGGCCCACAGAATATTTTAAATTTTAATTTTTTGATGAAAAAATGAATATTATAGTAATATATAGTAATCCAATGTATGCATAGAAAGTAATTTTTAATATATTTTTTTTATGGAGGAAGGGACCCAAAAAAGGCAGTAGTGCCCTGGGCTGATGATAATGAGAATATAGCCCTGGGGACAGTATTTGTTATACAGTAGTTAGGATTTGGCTAGAACCTAGAAAAGGAATAGAAGACTTAATGTTGAGAATGCAGGTTGGCCTCAGGTCAAAGGGAGTCCAAATGCCAGGCTGGGGAAGTTCATTAAACTTTGGTTTTTTTTCAGAGACTTTTTTGTCAACTTCTTGCTTACAGAGAGCTTTTGGAAGAGAATTCTTGCAGGAAGGAATAGGATGGATTGTGTTAGAAATAGGGTGATCAATCAAGGACCTTTTGCATTAGGTTAGGTGAGGGTTAAAGAGATTACAGTAGGAAGGGACAGAAGGGATGGAGACTACAGACATTCAGGTATATATATTTACCTGTGCATTTTAGATCATATGCTGAAAATCCCCTTTTCCCCATAGAAAATTCCCCAAATCATAATTATAAATTTGCATTCCCTCTGAGTATAAATTCCATGAGAGAAGGGACTATATCAACCTTACCTTTTGTATCCTCAGGGCACTGAAGATGGAAACACTCAAGAAAACAAGAGAGTTAGACTCCTGTCAAAGTGTTAAAACTGTTACAACTAGAACTAGATCCTGACCAACCCATCCTTATCATCAAAGCCAGTGCTCAAAGCCTGAGCATGTGACAAATGCCTTCCAATTGATTGATGGTTCAGTTAGAGCAAAACAGCAACAACATATACATAAACCTTAAGTATAACTTACTTTAAAGTTAATTTTAAATGATTATTAATTTTTTGAAAATTGGGTAGTCTTAGCCTATGGTCTATAACTAAATATATATTTATAATCATAACTTGCACATTTATATGCTACATTAACTCATATACAGAGGAAGTTGTAATGACATAAAACCATGTAGTATGCATTGAGTACAGTTGTGTTGCATGTAGATTTGTTAGCATTCTAAGTGGGTAATTTGTATACTTAGGATGTAACAAGCCTTGTGCTAGATAGAAATACAAGTATCAGGGGGGGAAATCAGAGGGGGAGACGAACCATGAGAGACTATGGACTCTGAAAAACAAACTGAGGGTTCTAGAGGGGAGGGGGGTGGGAGGATGGGTTAGCCTGGTGATGGGTATTGGGGAGGGCACGTTCTGCATGGAGCACTGGGTGTTATGCACAAACAATGAATCATGGAACACTACATCTAAAACTAATGATGTAATGTATGGTGATTAACATAACAATAAAAAATTTAAAAAAAAAGAAATACAAGTATCACATATAACGGCATATGTTGGGTGCTAACAGGTTAGGTTAGTAACAGGAAGGATAAGGCAAATCCTCACTAAGGAGAAGTGATGTTTGTATCAAGTCTTGAAAGAGTGAATGCTAGCCAGGTAGATCAAAGCAGAAAGGCATGTAAAATTTTAAAATTAGAGGAAATTACTCTTATACTTAAAAAGACTTTATTAATCTTTTGGAATATCAGTTTCTTTATCTGTGGCATGTGATAATCATCTTTTGTATCACTGTTCAGCTATTTTCAGTGTTTGTTCAGAATATGGAAAAGGAAAGGAGCATAAAGAGCAGCATGAGGTTACGAATACCATGATTTTGAAGAAGAGGGAAGATAGTGTGTAGTATTGATAGGTAAATTAGCTGCCTGTCTGTGTTTTAGAGATTTGTCTTTTTTGGGGATGGAGGAATAGACTAAGTGAATCTTCAGGAACTTCCAAACTCTGGCTTTTTGATTTGATAACTTAAGTATGAAGAATGTTAACATTGTTAAATCATTGTGATTATATTTAATGCTCTTAAAGAAACTAACATTTTATAGTATTGAGATTATACCATTCAACCTATGAAAAATTCATTGTTCTATACCATAATATAAAAACTGAAAGGTATTAAAACATAGCCATTTAATTGGTAATTTTTAGGCTCCCATAAATTTTATTACCAATATTACTGAATAAATTCAAGATAAAATTTTCAGTATTGAGCCTTATTGGCAATTTGAAAGCAGCCAAATTGTTCTCCTACTTTGTGTTGCAAAAATTCCAGAGCTATATTCAAAACGTTGTTATCAAGATAGGAAATGAATCTAAGTTGATGTTCCTCTTGAGGTTAAAGGTCTGTTTCTTTCAATCAGTTCAAATTGACAGGCCTCCTGCCATCACCTCCTCCTTAGCCAGGCAGACAGGCCCTGGCAGTCAGCGTGAAAACATCTGTTGAATGGATTTATTGACTAGATCTTGTTTTTTCTCTCTCTTTTCCTATTTTTTTTTCTTTCTCCCTTCACACCGTTTATTATGTCTCTGACCTGATGAACTTAATTTGTTTACACGTCGTTCTCAGTGTCTCCCTCAATGCTTGTCTCATGTTTCTTTCTACTGTGCTCTTTTCTTGGCAACAGCCCTTCCTGGAGCCCCAGCACACACGTGCGCTGTCAGTGCGCCAAGCTCAGCTGGCTGTGGTTGGCATGGATGGATTAGAGAAACATCGTCTTGTCTCCAGGACTCATTCCTCCCCTGCTGCCTCCATTTTACCTCATCCAGCAATGGACTGCCCCCTCCAGCCTGGCTCTGCAACTGGTAGGAATCCCTAAAGACTCCCTAATAGGCAGGCTAAATGCACCGTTCTTGTAGGATTAAGCGATTTAAATGCTCTGAATAACTCCAATAGCAGAACACTCTATTTTAACCCAGTGCAACCCAAATTTTATGAGGTTCTATTGGCTACAAGACAAACAGCACATCTGATAAATCTTGGGCTTAGTATTAATAGCCTCATAAATTGTTATCATTCAGGGGCCTGGAAAACACATCAACAGGTGCATAGGTCCCTTTTGGAAACAAAATCCCTACAACATTCCTTAGCACTGTTCCTCAATCTCTTCCTCCTAGTAGTCATGGCCCCTAGGAAATTTATGATTGGCTTCATTTGACTCTAACAAGTGCCTCTCCCCCAGTTTGTTTTTCATGTTTTGTTTGTTTCATTGTTTTCTTCTGACCTGCCATACAAATGACACCTGGGAGACAGTGGTGCCAAACTACATACGTTAGTTCCATTTCTATTTATTATGGCACCTCTGGGTGGGCTATTTGACCAACCTTTTCCTTTGCCTACAGCTGTGTTTGATATTTTAGAACCTGGTTACAGAGGAAAACAAACCAGATAATTCCAAGGCCAGAGGAAGGTCAAGTCTGGAACATACACAAAAAAGGGGTGCTATTCACTCTCCAAAGGAACTGTGCTGTAAATGTCCATGTGCATAAATACTCCTTTCTGTCTTCACAAGAATGGGGTCCAGAAGATATCCATGCTCTCAAACTTGTGGCTGATCAAATGAAAAATATCATAGCCCCAAGGGGCTCATAACTTGGATGCAGCAAGGGGAGTATTCATGTGCACCTTCTCTCAAAGGCTCTCACAGGTTATCTGATTTATTTTTGAATCAATTTTCAGGATTCAGAGTTTGTTTTTGTAGCTTTGGTGAACTCATGCAACCCTTTGTGCTTGGAAAAGTTAAAACACTTTTTCTAAAATCACATTCCCAAGCCTTGATGTCATCTTATTTAAAAATCAATGAATGGGTGCACCTGCATGGCTCAGATGGTTAAGCGTCTGCCTTCGGCTCAGGTCATGATCCCAGGGTCCTGGGATCGAGTACCGCGTCGGGCTCCTTGTTCAGTGGGGATCCTGTTTCTCCCTCTGCCTGCCACTCTCCCTGCTTGTGCTCTCTCTATAATAAATAAATAAAATCTTAAAAAAAAAAATAAAAAAAAAATTTAAAAAATCAATGAATGGAATGGCCAAGTTACTTAACTTTGACAGACATCTTTAATAAGTATGCAAAGGAACTACTTTTTATAAGGTGTTATACCACAAGCCAACATTCCATCCTAGGAGTTACAGGCTGGGTATATTTGCATATATTTCTTGCACCACATTAGCCACTGCCTTGGATCCCTCTATTTCTTAGAGCATAGCAGACCTGCCCTGGTATCCCAGACAACCCAGGACTGCAGCCCAGTGTCAGCAGAAGCTGCTTGATTCAGTCATGCCTGGTTCTTTCCTTCGTCTTTAGAGAGTGTTTCCTCAAAACCAGATATATGATGTAGAGGAATACTTTTGGTAGTTTTCAGATCGGTAGCCTTCAAGAATTACATTCTTCTAAATTCTTTTTCCTGAAAGTATTTTTTATTTAGTCATAAGCTTTCAAAAGAGAACACAGAGCAATAATCATCCTGTCATAATGACAATTCCACTCACTCAAAATTATTTCCTTAATTTTAAAGTGAACTTAATTATAAAGTTTAATGGTGCTGTCCCCATGTATGTTGCTGTCTGCTATTGAAATCCTATTGATTGAGTTTCTTTTCTTGGTTAAGAGGGGTGACCCTTTCCTGACATGCTTTGGCCTTTCCTCTTCTTTTAGATGTTCCTTCAATATGAATAAAGCAAGTTCCCTGAATATTAGAATGATACTACAAGTTTAGAAAAACACTGTTGCCAGATGGACAGGGTTGGTAAGTCTTAGAAGAATCCAGGTGAAAGAGTAGACTATAACTGTAATAATATAAGCATGACAAACAACCTAATCATTCAGAACAAATACTGGGTCATTTCAGATCATGAGTTTCTTTCTTATAATGTCAGCATCCTAGTATTTATCAGAGTTTGTATTCCATACACAAGTAGGGAAATGAACTTGAGATTATTTTCATATTTAATGGACTTGATAGGGCACATTTCTTGCCTAGTGATTAAATAAACATATTTTTTAAAAAAAACAGGATTTTAGGGGCACTTGGGTGTCTCTGTTGGTTAAGTGGTTTTGCTTTTGACTCTTGATTTCTACTCTGGGGGTCATGAGATTGAGCCCGCCCCCCCCCCTTGGGCGCATGGAATCTGCTTAAGATTCTCTCTTTCCCTGTCCCTCTACCCCCTCCCCTGCTCATGCGCATCTGTGTGATCGCTCTCTCTCTTAAAAAAAAATGCACAGGATTTTAGTGTTTCTAATGATCTCGATTTCAGAGGTGAACTATTAAGACTGATTTGTAGTAAGTTTGAAAAGAAGTATCTTTAAGCATTAAATTCCTTTCTTTTGATTTTTTAACATCTATTTGTTGTAGATGCATTTAAAAAATCAAAAGTGACATTCAAGTATGTTCCTTGGAAATATTTAGGTTTTTTTTCAAAAGGTTATACAATCTCACGCACTCAGTAGTTGTTCCACTAAAAAGTAAGGAGGAGAAAACAAATACATTGTAAAGGTGATTTGCTTAAACCCATCTTGTAAGAGCTGTACTTTTTGCCATAACTTAAAAAGTTATTTGTTAACTCACATACTTTTCAAGGCACACCTTTTCAAACTTGCACCTTCCATGTGGATTCTCAGCCACCAGATAGAGCAGCCACACCACCCCCTTTTTGAAAAGAACAAGTCAGTGTTTCCGGGGGAAAATGTTTGAATTCAGTCAGTTGTTGAAAGATGAAGTCTTCAGTCTGTTTCCTGTGAAGACTTGAATGGACCAAGAAATGGACTAATACGTAGACACTACCTGGTGGCTCTACAGAATGCCTGGTAAAGATATTTCTAAGATGGACAAAAAGAGCATATGATCATGATGCTGCTAGTGATAATGAAGAATGTATTGCACAGCCAGGTTGCCACATATTCATTTAAAGGGATTTTATGTTATATTGTAATGAGTAATAATACTTATTTTTTATAATATTCAATTTAAGAGGTGGGGTTTTTGTTCTATTTAAAGCCAAGGCATATTGTTTATATGACTTCTGGCAATTAGGGAAAGGGCAGTGTATTTTGTTTTCTTTACCATTGCCATCTCTTCTGCTCAACTATTCTTTATTTCTTTATTTATTTAATTTTTTTTTAAAGATTTTATTTATTTATTTGAGAGAGAGAGAGAGAGAGAGAAAGAGCACAAGAGGGGGGAGCGGGAGAGGGAGA